CAAAACATTCCTCCTTCTGGCTTATTCACGTGGTCTTTCGCAAACTGTAAATGGGCAGCAATGTTCTTTTTTGGAGAGTAATGGCTTTCTCCTTGCAACCATGCTGTGTACAACATTGTTGTTCAGTGTTCTCCTGATGGTGGTCTCATGAACACTGACATTCACCAATGCTAGAGAGATCTTTAGTTCCTTAGATGTTACCCTGGGCATCTTTGAGACCTCCCAGAGTATTACACACCTTGCTCTTGGTGTGATCTTGGTTGGTCGACAACCCCTGGGGAGGGTAACAATGGTGTTGAATTGCCTTCATTTGTACACAATCTGCCTGACATTGGACTGGTGGAGTCTAAACTCTTTGGAAATAATTTTGTAACCTTTTCCAGCCTGGTGAGCATCAACAATTGTTTTTTGGAGGTCCTCAGAAATCTTCTTTGTTCAAGCCATGACACACTTCCACACAGCTGTGTTGTGAAAATCAGACTTTGATAGTGAATACCTAGAATTCTGTTCTTTAAATAAGGCAAGACCTCCCAAACTCACGCTTGATTATCATCCCATTGATTGAAACAACTGACTCTAATTTCCCCTTCAAATGAACTGGTAATCCTAGAGGTTAAAATACTTTTGCCACACACAAATATGTAGCTTTGAATCATTTTCCTCAATAAATAAATGAACGGGTTTATTGTTTTGGACTCATTTGTTGAACTGGGTTCTCTTAAATTGGGTGCACAAACTTTCAAGCAATTCTAAGCTAATGCAAAAATGTTATGGCAGGCTAAAGTCCACTGAATATCCTTGGCCAACCTGAGGTTGCCTTATGATGAGGATGTCTTTAACTTACCAAATTTTCAACTATATCATTGGGCTTTTATTTTAACATCCATATTCTTTTGGAATAAGACCTTTCATAAATATTCCCCTTTTGAGTCTACCTGAAGAATAAGTGTAAAACATCTCTGAAATTTTAGGTCCAAGTATATCAAACAAGTATCTTCGTTTCCAGCCCTGAAAACTGCCAAACATCTCTGGTCATTAACTGGTTAGTATTTAAAAATTGATCCCAAATCACATGAGAAACTGACATTGTGGAATAACCCAAATCTGAAAATACAGGGAAAATATTTGATTGGAATGTTTGGGCCAAACAACAGATCAGTACTCTGAATCAGTTGATTTCTAATGGGTTCTTTTAAAGGCTCTGGGAGATTGTGTGTTGAATATAATTTACTTACAACATTTGCTGAGCAATATATACAACTGAAACATATTAAATAGAATGTCCTGGATGCTTTAGCAGCAGCAAGGTGCTAGCAATTTTAGAATACTTAAGAGATGCAGCACGTATACAGAAACTAACAATCCAATCTTATAACGAATTAAAAAGTAAAATTAAAGGTGGTATTAGTTTTACATCTGAATTGTGGAATAAAGAACTGGAATATCCAATTTTGGAGAATAAATGGGTCCAGGGGTTAAGAAACTTTGATTTAAATTATTTAAAAATGAAATTAATTCATCAGAAAATATTTTTTATTAGCGCCTTCAAAAATATTTTAGAAAGGTTGGACATTAGATTTGTGCTGGTGTTGTATGAAATTTGAACGCTCTTTAAGTCATATGACCTGGTCTTGCCCAACTATAATTTCATTTTGGTCTCAAATTATTACATATATCAGCATAATTTTGGAAAGAAATATTATAGTTAGGGACCTTAATGTGATGCTGAACTTTATTATTTCACAAAGGTTTAGTTCTATCCAGCCTGGGGCATGGCAAAAAAGATACATTTACATAAATGAAAAGAATTTTTTCCTAATTTTAAGGAATGGATTCAGGACATGAGTCTATTATCTGTTTTTGAAAAGTCACTGAGTTCTAAAAATAAATAATTCAAGCAAAATGTTTCTATATGGTCTAATGGTAAGCTTAGGTACTGAATTAATTTTATTAATACCGATGGATATTTTTTCTCTTTGTGAATTAGCCTGCCCTCCCTCCCTATTTATTTTATCTAGGGTTTGAGTTCTAATGAGTTCTAGTTCTGCCTTAGCTAGATGACCTTGGGCCAATCACTCTCTGTCAGACCTAGGAATGAGGCAATGGCAAACCACTTCCGAAAAACCTTGCCAAGAAAAGCACACGGACTAGTCCAGGCAGTAGCCAAGAGTCAACACTTGACTTGAAGGCACCAAATAAAAAAAGGGGGGGGGGTTCTCCACTGTATAATTACCACTTACCATTTTTTTCTGTTGGTATTGGGTTTTATTTATTTATTAATGTAACATATTTAAATGGATTTCCATCTACCAAAGTCACCCTAGGTGGCTAATAGATAACAGAACAAAATCACAATCCATAACATAAGTGGCAAATTGAGGCCCCTAAAAAAAAAATTCACTGACAGGTATACCTTTTTTTAAATATTTCTCTATTAAAACAATATAATAAAAATAGTGAGGTGGGTTTTTTTCCTTCATTGCATGTGTTCAGATAAGGCTAGACAGGCCTTTACCGTATATACTCACAAATAAGCTGAGAATTTTAGATGCCAAAATACACCCAAAAGATGCGTTTAGCTTATCCATGTATGGGCTTATCCACAAGTATATACTTTTTAAAAGTATCTGTATATCCTGTATGTACTTGTGAATAAGTCCATCTGCGGATAACCTGACCCTCAAATTTTTAACCAAAATACCATGGAAAATGGACAATCCATGGATTACCCAAAGATAAGCCAATTATGAAAATTAAAACATACAAAAATTTCAAGGGTTGGCTTATCTGCATGTATATATGGTAACTTGGTTTCCCACATGAAGCATGGAATTGGATTCAATAGCCTAAATGGCCTCTTCCAACTCTATAATTCTAAGTTTCCCTGCCATGATTTTGCAACCAATTACCAAATCAAATCAAAGGCCATCACTCCTTAAGTCTTATGATTCTCCCAAAACCAATATAGTTTTTCTGGAAATTGTAACAAGTGTTTATTTTCTCTCACTTTTTTTGTTAGTGGTGTTAGTCTCAAGCAAAATTTAACTGCAGGCAAGCCATTTTCTATCATTAATTGCACTGAAGAAATTGAGAATATAGCTTCCTCCCCCTCCTCCCCAGATGTAACATTGCTCATGGGTTGGTTTGCAAACCATTTTAAAGATGAATCCCAGAAATACCTATATGCAATTGCAATCACAGTTAAGTAGATTCATTGAAAGTAATGAAAACAATTTTATTTTTAAATTTAAAGCTGTACTGCCTAGAAAATACTGATCAATACAGAAATATTTATGTTACCAATTGTCAGTGGTTTAGATTGATTTTTTCCTTTTTTCCTAAGAAATTAAACCCTGCTTCATGTTTTATATGAAGGGGCCAATAATTAAAACGCACTTTCCTCTATTCAGAAACACTGACTGAAATAGAGTGCTTTCCTGGGAAGAAAAACAGAAAACTTCTGAGGCACTTTTAACAAGACTCTATTCATTTAAGGGTATTTCACTATTTATCTCTTTTGTAAATGAGACTAATAGTTAATAAATGACTGATTTAACTAGAAGATTCTTTGAAAGCTACATCCAATATTTCGGATACAATGCTTTGTAATTATATTTTCTTACTCTTCATTTTAATTATCAGATATAAATGCTGGGAGCAAGCAACCAGCAAGAAAATTCTTCTAAAAAACACTGTCAACATAGAATTTCAGGTGAATGTTGCCTGAATTCTCTCTTACTCATTGTATGGCAGGAAGTGGTTCCTCCCTCCCTCAGCCTTAGGAAAACTGCATTTTGTTATGAATAATTGGGGAGGGGGGACACACACATATTATAGGGTGGAAATAGAAGCAGAGGTACTAAAGTGAATACAACAGACCCTTCTCACTTCTCCCTTAGACCTTTCTCCAAACATCCCCTGCCCCAGTTCAGGTGATGGTTATGGAAGGGTCAGAAAATTCTTAACAGAGCTCTGAATTAGTTACACACAAAGGATTCTGAAAATACGTTAAGGGCCAACCCTTCACTCAGACTCTGCTGGAGAGATGGGAAGGCAATTTCCCATCAAATTGGAAAGCTGCATTTCCTATGCTACATATGAGATCGCTTTTATACCATTCACTACAATAATCCAAGGCACCCAACAGAAATAAGGATCTCCTTATTCCATATAACAGTATATGTACCAAAAAAGGAAATTGTGTATCATTTGATAAGCCGATGAACTTCTATATACACTTCCAATGAAATAAGTGAAACTGAAAATAGCAGAACCCTTGTAGAGGCCTGTTTCATGAATCAGCTTATGACTCTTAACTAAAAGGCATAAAATATCTAAATATGTCACATTTCAAATACATATTCTCACATAACTAATAGCAGTATTTAATTTTTAAAATAAAAGATAGCAAGGCTAAAGCATCATAGCAAGTTTCCCAAACTCTAATTTCAATGCCCAGTAACTTAAGAGTCCAAGATGCAAATAAATCAATTGGAATTGTCCTTCAACAAGAGAAAGCCCTCCAAATCCAGATGGTCCTTCCAATGGCCCAGATGGTCCTTCCAATGGTCATTTCTTCCTTGGTGATGTCCAAAACACAACTGAATCTCCTCCCTACCCCGATGCTCTGAACAGAGAGTGGAAGTGACTTTAATCTCCAGGGGGAAAAAATGGCATCAAAGGGAGGGGATGGCAAAGAAACTCCCACCCACCCCGCATGGCCATGGACGGTTGTCGTGGCAACCGCCCAGTCCCATCTTCAGTTCTGCCTTCCTAGAAATCCACCCGCACGTGGGGGGAAACCCCCAAAGCAGTGGCTGTCCCATCCTGACATTTACCGAGCAGCATCCTGTCACATGTCAAGGGAAGGAAGACGCCAACACAGGCAGGCATGCGCCCACTACCAGCCAGAAGCCCGGAGCATCCTTCCCTCTGCCTCCGCGTGGCTGGCCTTCGGTCCCGCCAACGACCCCGGCCCGCCCCTCGCTGCCGCCACTCACTTTTCCCCCAAGCCGCCTGCTTCCTTGCCTGAGCCCGAGTTGTAGCTATTC